GACAGTACAGGTATACAAACAATATACCTAGACAGTACAGGTATACAAACAATATACCTAGACAGTACAGGTATACAAACAATATACCTAGACAGTACAGGTATACAAACAATATACCTAGACAGTACAGGTATACAAACAATATACCTAGACAGTACAGGTATACAAACAACATACCTAGACAGTACAGGTATACAAACAATGCATTAATGTTATTGTTTATGCTGTAACTTAAATCAACCAGGTGTGTTTACAATCTAATTAAGGTAGAGGGGAGGGGATGGGAGGGGGGAACACCATATGATCATAACTCCCCCCACCCCCCCCCTCCCCCCTATATAACATGCCATTTGCTCCTCTCCATATATAGGTATCTCTATTAAACCTCTACTCTAACTACCCTAACTACCTTAACTACTCATAACTACCTCAACTACTCTAACTACCTTCAACTTCTCTAACTATCCTAACTACTCTTAACTACCTCAACTATAAAATAAGAACGATTAGTTATAGTGAATTATTAGCCTTGAAAATATCAGTAATTTGAGAGGATTTGATTTATAATGATAATGTTGCCAGGTGTATATGGCAGACCCAGTTGCCATCATTATACTCCACGGTAGAGTTGCCATTGTCGGTCTAGTGTCTGTCGTAGAGTTGCCATTGTCGGTCTAGTGTCTGTCGTAGAGTTGCCATTGTCGGTCTAGTGTCTGTCGTAGAGTTGCCATTGTCGGTCTAGTGTCTGTCGTAGAGTTGCCATTGTCGGTCTAGTCATTGTCGTAGAGTTGCCATTGTCGGTCTAGTGTCTGTCGTAGAGTTGCCATTGTCGGTCTAGTGTCTGTCGTAGAGTTGTCATTGTCGTAGAGTTGCCATTGTCGGTCTAGTCGCAGAGTTGCCACACGGTCTAGTGTTGTCGTAGAGTTGCCATTGTCGGTCTAGTGTCTGTCGTAGAGTTGCCATTGTCGGTCTAGTGTCTGTCGTAGAGTTGCCATTGTCGGTCTAGTGTCTGTCGTAGAGTTGCCATTGTCGGTCTAGTGTCTGTCGTAGAGTTGTCATTGTCGGTCTAGTGTCTGTCGTAGAGTTGCCATTGTCGGTCTAGTGTCTGTCGTAGAGTTGCCATTGTCGGTCTAGTGTCTGTCTGTCAATATATCTTAACTACTGTCTATCACTCACTATAAAAACTGACTTAACTATCGAGAATATGGTATCTCGATATTAGAAGTAGATGGTGGAAAGTAGGTGGTGGAAAGTAGATGATGGAAAGTAGGTGGTGGAAAGTAGATGGTGGAAAGTAGGTGGTGGAAAGTAGATGGTGGAAAGTAGGTGGTGGAAAGTAGATGGTGGAAAGTAGGTGGTGGAAAGTAGATGGTGGAAAGTAGATGGTGGAAAGTTTATGATGGAAAAGATGGTGGGGAAAGTAGATGCAGGGAAAGTTTATGATGAAAGTAGATGGGTGGGAAAGTAGGTGGGAAAGTAGACAGGGAAAGTATGTGGTGGAAAGTTTATGATGGAAAGTAGATGGTGGGAAAGTAGATGGTGGAAAGTTTATGATGGAAAGTAGATGGTGGAAAGTAGATGGTAGGAAAGTGATGGGCAGGGAGTAGATGGTGGGAAAGTTTAAGATGGAAAGTAGATGGTGGGAAAGTAGATGGGTGGAAAGTTTATGATGGAAAGTAGATGGTGGAAAGTAGATTTGTGGAAAGTGATGGTGGGAAAGTAGATGGTGGAAAGTATGGTGGAAAGTAGGTGGTGGGAGAGGCAGATGGTGGAGTAGGTGGTGGGAAAGTAGATGGTGAAAGCAGATGGTGGGAAAGTAATGGTGAGAAGTAGGTGGTGGAAAGTAGATGGTGGAAAGTATGTGGTGGAAAGTAGATGGTGGAAAGTATGTGGTGGAAAGTAGATGGTGGAAAGTAGATGGTGGAAAGTAGATGGTGGAAAGTAGATGGTAGAAAGTAGATGGTAGAAAGTAGATGGTGGAAAGTAGATGGTAGAAAGTAGATGTTATATCGGGTGTGTTATCGGGGTTATGTGGCAACTGTGTAAAGTATAACTTGTGTATGTTAAGATGTAGACGTGGCAACGGTGGTGGTGGGATGTCCTGAGTGGTCGGCAGGTCCTGTTGGCTGATTGGCTGCCTGTCTGTAGGTTCTGTTGGCTGATTGGCTGTCTGGTCTGAATGTCTGCTGTCTGTAGGTTCTGTTGGCCGATTGGCTGCCTGTCTGCCTGTCTGTCTGTAGGTCCTGTTGGCTGCCTGTCTGAATGTCTGTCTGTAGGTCCTGTTGGCTGCCTGTCTGTCTGTTCCCGTCAACCGTCCTTACTTCCCGTCTGTATAAATGTCGTTTTTTTTATTTACCGGATGTACTCAAGACTTCGGGGCTAGTTACGTGTGCACACTATAAAATTTTATTATCACTTATATTTATCAGTATTTTTTTTTTTTTATTCGTTATATAAGATAAATTGGGATGAAATATGTTAATGAGCAGAAGAGGAGGAGAGAGAGAGAGAGAGAGAGAGAGAGAGAGAGAGAGAGCCACCAATAACAATCACGGTGTATTGGTAATTAACTCAGCATTGTGTTGGATCTTTGTTTGGGGAGATGAGAGGTGATGCTGGGGAGGGGAGAGGGAGGAGGGGAGATGGAGAGGGACATGAGGAGGAGGAGGACAAGGGGAGGAGGGGTGGAGGCGAGGAGGAGGGACAAGGAGGAGGGGGAAAGAGGAGGAGGGCTGAATAGACAAGAGATGGGAAAGGGTTCGTGGTAAAGGTGAGGGGAGTACAGCTGCAAGCTTGGTCAGTATTTCCATCTCTCTCTCTCTCTCGTAGCGGCTATCCTAACCTGGTCCAACCTAACCTAAACTTAACCTTGTCGTATATACCAGTTACTACTACTGCGACTACTACTACTGCGACTACTACTACTACTACTGCGACTACTACTACTACTACTACTACTACTACGACTACTACTTTTCACATTAAGTCATAGTAACTCACGATTCCCTCTCACTCCCTGGCAATACCTTCCCCAGGGCCAGAGATCCCAAGGTTAGGTTACGTTACGTGAGGTTACGTTACGTTACGTTACGTTAGGCTAATATTCGTGCCTGTGATATTTCAAGGTTGAGTTAAGTAGATGAGTTTATGGTGCTACAGTATTTATAGTGTTACAGTGTACCCAATAACACTGTCCCAATGTTACACTACACCCATATACACTGTGTTCCATTATAGTGTTACAGTGTACCCAATAATACAGTGTAGCTACAATACTAATTCCTTTCTTTTCCTTTCTTTCAGGTTCTCAGTCTACCTCGATAACTTTCACTGATAAGGAAGAAGAGAAACAACCAGATAGACAAACAAACAAACGTGTAAATGACGTAGTGTTGTAAATTGTAAAAGTTATAACGTTGAGGAAAGTCAACAATTATGGTGAAAAGTTGTAAATTGTAAAAAGTTTATAACGAAGTGTGAAAATTATTGGAAAAAATGGGTGAAAAGTTGTAAATTGTGTAAATGTGGCGTCTCTAAATGATGATTATTTATAAACATTGAAAGTTATGAAGATGGAAACTGTAAACAAAACAATAGTGAGTGACGATTAGCTGTAAATGGTGTAAATCATTAATACGGAAAAGAGTAATACCAGTTAGTTGTAAACAAGTGAAAGTAAACATGGAAAAATAGAAGAAAAAAAACAGCAGCTAATAAGTTGTAAATATTGTAAATAAAACACAAGTGATCGAAGTTTACTTGAGAAAAAAAAAACTTGTAAATTGAAACATTGAAAAAATATATAGAAAAACAATTGTAAATGAGCTGTAAATGTTGTAAATCAGAGGGACTTATACAGCGAAGAAACACCCTTCCTTCTCCATCCGCCCCCCCCTCCCCCTCCCCTCCGCCCCCCCTCTCCCCATCCACTCCCTTCCCCCTCCCCTCACCCCCCCCCTCAGTGACAGTTACTTGTAAATACTGAAGGTTAATACATACTATAGAAAACGGAGTGTGGTATGTGTACATCTGTGTGTGTACATCTGTGTCTGTGTGTGTGTGTGGGGGGCAACTGACTTAACGGACATGTCAGGTCAAGGGAAACATCTTTCAACCCCCCTCACCCCCCCACTCCTCCCTCTCCCTCCCACCCACTCACTTCACCCTTCACCTCTCCTCATCTCACTACCTTGACTCGTTCACCTCACCGGCTTGACTCACCTGTTGAGGGAGAGTTGATGCAAGGAATGTATATAGCGGCGAACCCTATGAAGAGATAATGTATATGAAGTACAGATATGCGGATAAGAATGTATATAGACTCTTGCCTAACGATCATTCAGGCAGTAGACTGTTTATATGACGGGTTGTTACTGGTTTAAGAACAAGAGAATGTATATAGTTTGGTCTACGTGAAGGTATACCAACGTGATGATTTATATAGTACGTGAAGACACATCAAGATAGAAGAATTTATATAGTGCGTGAAGTTAATCAAGATATAGTGATTTATATACTTGAAGCTCCGTGAAGACAAAAGGAGATAATTTATATAGTAGGTGAAGGTAATAATGTATATAGTTTGATAGACTGTGTGTGAGTGACTGTGTGTGACCACAACATGACTGGTGCGACGAACACTACTGACGCTAAACCCTACCACCACCACCACCACCAATACCACCACCACAACTACCACCACTACTCCAGACCATGTGGCACGTACACCACCTCGGGGAGTAATGTTAATTGTTTACCCCAAACCAGCGGTGAGGCCAACAGATACGACCATCCCAACGGTGGAAATAATGCCGGTCAGGTAGGGGCAAGACAGTGCTATGAGGGACACAAGGTCGAGAGTCCTGTCAGGAATGTGGTGGTGGAAGGAGGAGAATGCGAGGGTAGGTGTTGCTCCTACGAGTGTGTGGGGAGGAGGGAGGAGGAGGAGGAGGGTCCTGAGGGCGGTGGTGGAGGTAGTGGTGGAGGAGGCTTGGGGCTCAGTGTTCCCGCCGCCTCGGGAGCGGACGGTAGTGCTTGTCGCAGTAACGCTGAACCGCCTTACAGCCACCCTACCCCGCAGCGGACCGCCCCAACCACGCCCCAGTATTCCTCTACCGGGAGTTGTAACTACCGGGGCCGCCAACCCCAGGGGCCTGATAGTCCCAACACCCAGGGGGAAGGAGTACTATGTGATAAAGAACCGAGAGTACAACGTGTGATAAAAGTGGGTGGAGGAGAAATACAAGTGGAAGTGTTGATGAAAAGAGAGTGGAGGGAGTGTGGTAGTGGAGGTGTGACCCTCGAGAAGCAGCAGCCTAAGAAGAAGAAGAAATTTATCATAATCCTCAAAGGTCTGCTTAACAAATCCAAGCGAAGTGAGAGAAAGAAAGGCGTGGATAGTGAAAGTGAGAGGATAAACGGTGTGAACGCGGATGGCAATAAGGTAATAAATAAGAATAATAAAAGTGTTAAACAAGTTGACATTAAACGTGGTGAAGGAAAATTGAGAAAAAGTTTTAATAACAGTGAAGATAAAAGGTGTGGTGTTAATGGTAGCACAAGACGGCTGGTGCTGGGTTTAGCTGAAGGCCAGGGTGTGAGGGATCAAGGAACACACCTCGGCAGTAGTGAAGAAACCCCACCTGGTGTTGGTCTTAGTCAGGAGAGGAACACCGAGCGAGGAGAGGACTTAGAGGAGGTACTAGACCCAAGTAAGAAAGGAGAACCTGACGGAGATAGTGATAATTCAGGTGGAGGCAAAGTCTTCGATAACTCCGGCAGCAGCAGCAGCAGGAGGTGGTGGTGTGCAGAGAGCAGCGGGGGGAGAGAGGCTCCACCCTGCCTGGGGATCCAAGAGCAGCTGACTCTCCTGTACCACGCCGCCCTAACGCGCAACACCTACATAGAAAACGGGAGACAACACACCACATGTCAAGGAGTTGTTGACGAACACCCAGTTGACGTCACCCTCCACCACAACACCTGCAGTGAGGACCACGCCCACGCGCACCTTGATCCTCCCTCCCACGGGGACTCGGGTGATCGCGTGTCTCTCCCTCACCTCACTGACGGTGACACTGAACAAGTCGACAATAATATACAGGTTATATTAGATGACCATAGTGAGGTTCCCACTGGTGTATCTGTTGACCCGAGTGTTAGTTTACTTCACGTCCTAGAACCCGAGGCCCGTGTCACCCCTCACCAGACTTCAGCAGAGTGTGAGGACTTTGGGGGCAATAACGTAGAGTTTGAGGACAATAAGGTAGAGTTTGAGGGTGTGAGTGACACAACCCCCTCACCGCCCTCTCACACACCCACTTCCCCCGTATGTGAGGACACCAGCGAGCGCCAGGGTGAAGACAATGCTATAAGCTCGTCGTGTTTACCCCAGAACGCCTCTGACAATGAATACAGCATTGACTCTGAGGAGGAGGAGGAGTGTGTCGTGAACAATACAGTTAACGGAGGCGAGTTAGGTGGTGGTGTTGTGTTCATACAGCCCGCCGCTCACCTTCATCACCCCGCTACTGAAGGCGACACTGAAGCAGCACCGGACACAGGGGAAACAGATTCACTTGATGACTCGTCCCATAGTGATTCAGACAGCAGTAGTGACTCAGATAGCAGTAGTAGTGACAGCAGTGTGGACTATGATCTTCCTCCCGTTGATGACAGTGTTTACGACCTGCAATTTGATCCTTATTTTTACCAAGGTAGTATTTCCCTGGACGACATCCCGGACGACCAGCCAATAGACTACCCGTGTCCCTATGACGTTGATGGTGGTTACCTCCCCGCCCACGACCGTCAGTTTAACCCTAACTTCTCCTATATAGACAACTGGAGGTACAATCCCGTCACTGACCCGGGGGACCTCTACAGGAGCCAGAGTCAACCTGAAGACGTCAGCCACCGCCGGTACGAAGACGAGCCCCTCGACGGTAACGCCCCCCTCCATGTGTTCCTGAGCCAGCCCATCCCCAGGCAGGTCTCGGCGAGCTTCCCTCTACAGAACACCCTCCTCAAGCCGAGGAAGCGTGGAGAGTTCAGCTCACTGTGCAGCTTCGGCGGGTCACAGCTGTACACCATCACGGAGGAAGCCGAGGGAGACGACCTCAACGACGACTTCTGCACCAGGAGGAATCACTCAGAGTCCAACCTGTACTTCGGGGATCCTGAAGGCTTCTACAGCGACCCATACTACTACAACTCCGACCTGTACTACGGCGACACTGACTCAGACAGCGACTCTACCATCCACAGTGAGTTGTCTGACTTCCGACTGTCAACAGAGACTCTGGAACAAGACTCGGAGGGGTTTGATGGCGTAGACCAACACGAGACTGAAACACATCAAGCGGAGTCAGGTTCTGGTGACAGTGTTGGCGAGGAACCTTGTGTAGACGCTGCTGTGGACCTGGACGATCATAGTCGACAGGACGGCGACACAGACCAAGAGAGTCCAGACTACGTTTCTGAAACCTGTAGTGAAGAGGAGTCCGTCTCATCTGCCCCAGAGGCCGAGGACTCACCTAGTCAGGACTCAGAGGGTTCATGTCACGGTGAATACCCAGATGAGTTTTTCCTCTTCTGTTCTGAGGCAGAGATAACAGACATGGAAGTGATGGAGAACGTGGACATGCTGCCTTACAACGGCAGTAAGGAGGACTTCACCTACTTCAAGGTGGAGGACAAGGCGTCGGGCAGGAGTAGCCCCCTAGATCAAGAATTTCTCCTGGAGAGTTACGGCTGTAGAGTCAACAGCAACGCCACCTATAACAATGCCGACAACCGCAGGAAGACCACCAGCGCCCTGCCTCTTAACTCTTACTGGGACGGAGCCATTAACGGCACGCTTGACTCTAGGAGGGACTCTGCCTCACACGTCTACCAGAACATCCCCATCAACAGCCGCCTCTCTAAGTCCAACCCCAACCTGGCCTGTGTCACCGACGACACGGACCGTTGTAGGTCGGAGTCACGACCCGTGTACCAGAATGTGCCGGTACCCGCCAAGAGGCACCACCTGCACGCCAGACAGGCAGACATTAACAACGCTAACGTCTTCGACAGCAACAGTAACTACCCTGGTTACCGCAGTGAACACACACACGGTACGAACACCAAACATTACTCCCCCTACATGAACGTACCTTTTAATGGCCAGAGGCACGAGGCATCGACCCAGGACCTTGAGGACTTCCAGATGAAGTCTTCCAGTTCTCTGGTGGACGGCCTGGACTGTCTCTCTTCCAATGGCCACTACGATACCCCACAACAGTTCCAGGACGCCGAGTGTATGAGGCAGCGGAGTCTGAGGGCCAGTCAGGACCTCAGGTTTGTGGGACTGTCGCAGCAGCCGTCCTTTGAGGCTTCATTTGGCCTCCACAACCCAAGCTTCTTGGAGGACTCGTCGTCACGGTCTCCGGCTGCCTTCAGTGCCTACGCCTCTAACACCAGCCTCGATCACGACACCTTCTCCAAGACCTCCAAGATATACAAGTGGAACGGGTCGTCATCAGTGTCAGACTTGACCTCGTTGAATCGTGACCTGTCCCCCACCCCTCCCGGGCTCAGCAGGGGTTCGGCCTCTGCCACTGACCTGTCCCGGGTAGGTGGCACCTCAGACGAGGAGCGTGACCCGGCATCTGAGGCGCCCCTGAGAGAGACCAGCTACGCCACTTGGTGTGCCCAGGTTCACGACGACCAGGACGACGATCAGGACTTTGTGATGCCTCTAGGCCTCAGGAACACGTCGGCCCCCTTCGTCTTCTCTCCTCACCAAAGTAAGTACCCACGTGTGTGTCACCCCTGGCAGGAGGAGGAGAGGGACAACTTCTCCCTCCCTCCCTCCCTCCCTCCTCTTCCTCCTTTCATCGGGTCTGTTTAAACAATGATTTGCTATTTTGCTTTCAGTTGCGTCATCATTTTCCACGGAGAAGTGTTTAGTGTTTGGCTGTGGTGAGGTGTGTGAGAGACAGAGAGTGAGAGAGTCAAGGCAGCCATAATTCTCTCCTATCACTTCTAGGTACAAGTAAAGTCAAGATATAAATTACCCGCCATTTTGAAACCTACATTAGAAACCAACTAATCGTATGTGTTATTAAATCCCAACTTACGTAAAAAAAAACTATCCCAGGAAACTTGAAGCATCGAAGGACAAATTCTCGGAAAATCTTACTCAAAAAATTCCACTTAAAGGAGAAACGAGGCGAGACATTTAGCTGACTGACTTAGACACGCGACTACCAACTGGGAATCCAAAATGGTGTCAAAATTACCACAAGACTTTACACTGATCGTTTACTTTCACTTATTCCCAACAACAATGAAAACAAAAACATAACAAAACAACAACAACAACAACAAAAAAAAAACTTACGAATCTTTAAAATTACGAGACTCAGATTCGGTGATGTTATTTGTCCCCTTTATGTCCCTGTAGATATATATATATATACAGGGTGTCTCAGAAAAATAAACCCAGATTTGTCGTATTTTTCGTGGAGTTCGTGTTAATGTTTCGGGTATTATATCAACATTGTCCTCTCTTGTTGATGTTCGAGGTGAGGACAATGTTGGTGCTGTGATACACTGTCCAGGTTTGTTGGTGTGTAGTTGTGTTGATATTATTCTGGACCTAATCTTTGTAGGGTCACGTGAAGATTAGCCCCCCACCACCTTTTTTGCCTATATTAATTAAACACCTGGGGGAGGCTAGGTTAACTTTAGGGTGTCTAATCTTTAGGTGAAGTAATCTGGGGTGCCTAATCTTCACAGGTAATACACTCTCATTAACTCCAGGTAACCAGGTAGACTTATTCCCACATTACCAAGTATGAGGAAATATTCAGTGTAGAAAGCCCTGTGTGTGTGTGCATTAAATATTGTGGCAGATTGAGTGCAGGTGGTGAGTGTTGTTTATTGTACTGACACACACACACACACACACACACACACACACACACACACACACACACTATGACGAGAGTATTAAATGGACTTTCGAAATATACTTTTTCTCGTTAAATTGGCAATCTATTTTGCTCTCTCTCTCTCTCTCTCTCTCTCTCTCTCTCTCTCTCTCTCTCTCGTTGTTGATTGGCTGAGAGTAGATGCAGCTGGGGACAAATGAATTCCTGATTGGCTAAGAGTAGGTGCATTAAGAAAGCTGATTGGCCAAGATCTAGGTACAGTACAGGTAGGGGGGGGGATTAGTGAGTTGATTGGCCAAGACTAGGTATAGCTTGAGGCACATGGACCAATCACTGGCCTGGGGTGTCCTGCTCGTCGCAATCACCAGGTTTGGGGTAATAAAGTGTTATACCGCGTGACTCAACAACACTATGGCAGTGACTGTGTCTTTGTTGTTGTTTGTTGTTATTGTTGACGTTGTTATTGTTGTTTGTTGTTGTTGTATTCTCGTATCACCTGAACATTAGCCACCCCTCTTAAATACACCTTGAAATTAGTCACCTTACCTTACCTTATCTTACCTTACCTCTTAAATCTTCCTCCTCTTTTTCCTTGCCTCCTCCCTTTCCTCCTTCTTTTATTCCTCTTCCTTTCTTTCTTCTCCTCCTCCTTCTGTCCCATCCCCTACTCCTTCCTTTCCTTTTATCTTTCTTCCCTACCTCCTCCTCCATCTCCTCTTCCTTCTTCTTCCCCCTCTCGCCTACACCCTTCCTTTGCTACTCCTCCTCTTCCTCTTTCTCCTCCTTCCTCTTCCTCCTCCTCCTCCTCCTCATCATCATCATCTTCCTCCTCCTCATCTTCCTCCTCCTCCTCCTCATCTTCCTCCTCCTCCTCATCTTCCTCCTCCTCCTCCTGATCTTCCTCCTCCTCCTCCTCCCATCACCTTAAAAACCTCTTCAAATTATGACTTAATTACCTAGGGGCCGTTCATTCCCACGCTCAATGCAGAAGGACCCCCTACAATATGTCAGGCGGTGCTGGGAGATGGTGCTGGGAGGTCTCAGAGAAGGGTCCCGTGTGTCTCTCTTCTGTGGCGTGTGATAGGGAGCTTGGAGTTGGTGCTGGGTGCTAGGAAATGGTTATGGAAGATGGTCCTAGGTGCTGGGAGATGGGAGGTGATGCTGAGAGACGGGAGACGATAAGGTTAGGTTAGGTTTGGATATAATGGTTATTGGTAGAGAGAGAGGCTCCCCCCCCACTCCTCTCTCCTCCTTCCTACAACAGGTCCTGCATCACGCCCTCTCTCTCTTCCTCCTTCCCTCTCCTCCCTCCCTCCCTCCCTTCTTCCCTTCCTCTCCCTCCCTCCCTCCCTCCTCCTTCTTCCCTTCCCTCTCCCTCCCTCCCTCCCTCCATCCGACCTCACTTATTACCACTGAAATTGGCTGGAAATTGGCACCAGTCTGGATGTGAAATTGTTCATCATTGTCCAATTAAAAGCCAATTTTTTCTCTCTCTTCATTAAATTCTAAATCACCGTCTCTCTATCTCTCAGCGATCTCTCTCTCAGTTCTCAGGAGTCTACAGTATCTCTCACTTTCTCTCTCCGTCTCGATTCTCAGGGGTTTCTCACTTTCTTTCTTTTTCTCTCAGCTCTTAGGGGTCTCGCTCATTTTCTCCCAGCTCTCAGGGTCTATCTCTCACTCTCTCAGTATCAGGCGAGTCTCTCAGACAGGTTTAAGTGTCAGCTATTATCATTTATATACATTTTTAATTTACTGGCTAAATGTATTCGTGTGTGTGTGTGTGTGTGTGTGTGTGTGTGTGTGTGCGTGTGTGTGTGCTTGTTTGTTTGCCTGTGTGTTTGTTTGTCTTTGAATGTCGTGTGTGTTTGTTTGTCTGTCTGATTATGTGGCCCTGTTTGTCTGTTTTATTTGTATGTACGTATTTGTTGTCCGTAATATGTGTTATGTGTGTGTGTGTGTAGTGTCCGTGTGTAGTGGGTGTGGGTGTATGTGTGTGTAGTGGGTGTATGTGTGTCGTGTCCGTGTGTAGTGGGTGTATGTGTGCAGTGGGTGTATGTGTGTAGTGGGTGTATGTGTCGTGTCCGTGTGTGTCTGTCGGCCACTCAGTGAAGTCTCCTACTTAAAACTGCTCTCCCTCAAGGACTTAATGTTTACATGGTGGTTTCCTCGCCACACATACTTGAGTGTGTGTGTGTGTGTGTGTGTGTGTGTGTGTGTGTGTGTGTGTGTGTGTGTGTGTTAAGAGAGATGGATGAGGTGGGTACATCTGTGTGTGTGTGTGTGTGTGTTAGAGAGAGAGATGGAGGAGGGTGGGTACATCTGTGTGTGTGTGTGTGTGTGTGTGTGTGTGTGTGTGTGTGTGTGTGTGTGTGTCTGCATGAGCGAGAAAGATGGGTGTCTGTGTATATGTGTGGAGAGAGGGAGAGGCTATGTATGTACTGTATGTATATGTATGTATGTATGTATGTATGTATGTATAGCTCCTCCTGTGGGTCATCATCTTAACTATATTTTAAGGTACAAGTTTATATCCATAATTTATATTGGAGGCCTTATTGATTCCACTCTCCCACCTTCCTTCCTTCCTTCCTTCCTTCCTTCCTTCCTTCCTTCTTTCCTTCCTTCCTTCCTTCCTTCCTTCCTCCTTCCTTCCTTCTTTCCTTCCTTCCTTCCTTCCTTCCTTCCTTCCTTCCTCTTCCTTCCTTCCTTCCTTCCTTCCTTCCTTCCTTCCTCCTTCCTTCCTTCTTTCCTTCCTTCCTTCCTCCTTCCCTCCTTCCTCCTTCCTTCAGTCTTCCTCCCTCCTCTCTGTTCCACCGTCCCATCTCTCTCCAAACATCTATCTCTCACCTCCTTCCTTCCTTCCTTCCTTCCTTCAGCCAAAAGTCTCTCCCAGGAGACCAAACATCAGCCGTGGTAAAGGGTGTAATGAGGCAGAGTCGTCTTTGTGTCCCTGAATGAGGTGGTTAAAATTTCAAGGTGTTTACGTTGATTATGGTATACCTGTTGGGGGGGGCTCTTTCACCTCTTTTTCGCTCTCGTTCTCTATTTTCATATATTTTTTGCTATCTCTTTATTTTTCTAGCCTCTTTCTCTCGTCCCCCTTCCCCTCGCAGTCCCCGTCCCCCCCTTCCCATTTCCATCTTAGTAAGGGGAGGGAGAGGAGGAGGTCGTGTTACTGAAGGCGGGACCACTGCTAGTTGGCCGCCATTAGCGTGACGTCACCGCCCCCGGGGGTCGCTACCTGCTGTAAGTTCCCGCCAATGTTTCCCGCGCTTTTTTTTATTATTTATTTATTATTATTTTGTTTTTCGTGAAATTAGAAGGTGTGTGTGTGTGTGTGTCATCACGTAGCTAATTTGACTTGTATAGCCTAAAATACAGGTAAATTCAGGCGTATGCATACACTACACTGCACTACATTACACTACACTACAATACACTACACCACATTACACTACACACTCCCTCACTAAGACAATAACTCGTCCCGTTAACCACCTGCCTTATTGACCCATCTACCTGGAGTTAAAAGGCACGGGGCCGTATACACCTCCGCCAGCTGTACACCACACAGGTATTCTGTACAGGTAGACACACTAATTAGATTATGGATGTTACCTGTTGTACTGGAAGTGTGATGTCTTCAATGGGGTTGAGGGTTTTTGAGTTTGGTTGCTGTTGTTGATTAGCTGCTGAAGGTGTCCAAAATGTATTTTATTATATATTTATAATCAATTTTTTATTATTATTATTATTAAGAACATAAGAAAATAAGAAAATATCTACCATGTCAGTCCAGTCAGTTTATACACCTCTATCATCCCCAATCTGTTCCAGCCTCCATAATT